TCCTCAAGGTGGACACCCTGAAGAGGGGGCAGCCATAGGCAGTGACCTTCTTCCACAAAGAAAATTCATCATCTTACCTTTACAACTGGCCATATAATTTTTTCCAAAGATCTTTCATGGAGCCCACCCCAAATAAATAATGTTGGAGAATTCTATTGTGTAATGAGAATAAAAGTAAGGATAATACATTACAGGCATTTGTAATTTCTCCCAGCCCCTCTCCCACAGCCCCGCTCAGTCCTAACTCCTGTGTCTCCTTCCAAGAGAAGGGCTGAGTCTGCCACTTCCACTCCCGGGTTCTCATTATGCAGAATCAACGGCCCAGGAGAGGGGGACTGAGCCGAAGAAGCAAGAATGCACGCCAGGAGGACGCAGAGGGCTGCCATTCATTGGCTAGAAGGAAGGAGCCGTATAAATCGAAGGAAGGGAAAGAAAAGCAAGACCAAGAACCACAGGGGTTGGAGTTCAGAAAGAATTTTTGGCAATAATTTTGATACTGGGGCTTCGAGTCCCCTGTGAACTTGAGACTTGAAGAGAGAGAGATGTGGCCTGGGGGGAGAAGAACTGAATATCTATTTTCCCTTATTCTATTTTTTAAGCTTGCCTCCCCCAAATTGTAATAATTCTCTTTCACTTTAAGAGTCTGCAATTCCAGGGGCACCTGGGTGGCTCAGTGGGTTAAGCAACTGCCTTCACCTCAGGTCATGATCCCAGAGTCTCAGGATCGAGTCCCTGCTTCTCCCTCTGGCCTTCCCCCTCTCGTGCTCTCTCTCATTCTCTCTCTCTCTGAAAGAAATAAATAAAATTTAAAAAAAGAGCCTGCAATTCCAATTATATACATCAAACAAAAACTCTATTCTTAGAAAAAAAAAGCTTGGCAAAAAAAGTAGTCAGGCTTTAATAGTTATTTTTCTGATAGTTCTCTAGGTAACTTTTTTTTTTCTTTCCACTTTTGTGAATTTGCCAGTTTTTCTAAAATCTTTATGGCATTTAAAGTAATATTTTTAAGCCCTTATTTTAGAATGTAAGTGTAACAATGATTAAAAAAAAAATGTGTATGACTACAGGCAAAAGACGAGCATGATTTAATCTTCTCTTGGAGCTTAGACCCGAGGAAGAAAAGAATGAAACAAAATTCTCTCTATGATGGAGGAGCAAAATCCAGAACTTTCTCAGGTCCTTTCCCCCAGATCCAGCAGGGAGTCTCTCGCCAATGGTTCAGTCTTTGTGCGGATATGGCTGCCGTTTGCCTGGCCATCTGACCTCTGTGTTGGTGGAGTCAGCTTTGGAGGCGGGATGGTATTGGGACTCAAGATACTTGCTTGTGATATCCGCTCTGCAGTTGACTTTCTGGGGATAGGGTCAAGTTACCTAACCGGCTTTACCCTTGACTTCTTAACCTCAAAAATAAGGGATTTACATGCGTTGCTGGTGGGAACGTAAAATGGTGCTAACTGTACGGGAAACAGGTTGGGTGTTCCTCAGCGGTAAATATGGAATCATCCCAGTTCCCAACAATCGTACTCCTAGGTATACACTCAAGGAATGAAACATGGACCCGGCCATTTCTAAGTCAATATTCATAGCGTTTTTCACAGCGTTGAAAAGTGGAAACAACCCGTCGACACAGATAGAGACACACTGAAGTGGTAGAAACACAGAAACTGTGGGACACCAACAAGCCACAGCCCAGATACCTACAACTCAACTATCTTCTGACACCATCCACCTGGAGAGGGGAAAGGGGTTCAGTCCCCGCCAAACACACACTTCAGAGGCCCCTGCCAGTCACCCAGATTGGCTGGGTCTCCCTCTGACTGGTATAAATCAGAGATTCCCGATGGCCTGATCTTGGGTTTGATTAATTTGCTAGTGTGGCTCACGGAACTCAAGAGAAACATTTCCCTCGGAGACTTCTGGCTCATTATGAAAGGGTGGAGTGCAGGATCCGTAGGAATGGGGGAAGGGTGTGGAGCTTCACCCTCTCCCAGGCACCCTGTCCCATCCCCCAGGTCTCCACGGGGTCACGCTGCACGCTCTCCAAGCCCTGTCCTCTTGGGTCATTTATGCACACTCCATTACGTGGGCACGGTTGACTGCATCACAGGCCTGGCCGGCATTTTCCCCTATGGCCCCTCTCTCCTACCCGAGGTCAGGGGGTGGGGTCTGCAAGTTCCAGCCCCAGATCAACCGGTTGGTTCCCCCGGAAACCGGAAACCGGAAACCAGTTCTCCCCTCGGGTGACCGAGGGACTTTCCAAAACTGCCTCATTAACATACCAAAAGACACCTGGAACTTTCTCACAGCTTGGGAGATTCTGAGGGTTTAGAAGCTCCTGTGCTGCAAAGGGAAATGAAGACCAGATATACGTTTCTTACAAACCGTGATACCGGGCACCTGGCTGGCTCCGTCGGTGGAGCGTGTGGCTCTTGATCTCGGGGTCATGGGTTCAAGCCCCACATTGGGCAAGGAGCTTCCTTTAAACAGTATCACGATCCACAGCGCAGAGTGGAACATTCTTCAGCCAGCGAAGGGGCTGGAGCTCTGATGCACGCTGTGATGTGGACGGACCCTGGAAACGGCGTGCTAAGGGAAATAAGCCGGGACTAACGGCAAACGGCTGGCCATTCCCCTCGGTCGGGGAAGCCAGCTTAGGGGTAGGGACAGGCAGACAGACAGAACAGGCTACAGGTTCTGGGGAGCAGGGGGTCGATGGAGTGGGAGCTACTGTGTAATGAGTACAGAGTTCCCGCTGGGGTAATAAAAAATTGTTGGAAATAGCTAGTACTGGTGGTTTGTACGACACCGTGAGTGTATTTAATGCCACCGCATTGTACACGTAAAATTATCATTTTTTTCTTAAAGATTTTGTTTCTTTGAAAGAGAGCACGAATTGGGTAAGGCAAGCAGGTTCCCCGCCCGATGCGGGGCTCGATCCCAGGACCCCAAGATGATGCGCTGAGCTAAAGTCAGACGCCTGGCCCACTGAGCCACCCAGGTGCCCCTAATGAGATGTGTCTAACCTGTCATTGAGCTCTGACGTTCTGGAATACCACAGCCGAAGGGCTGAAGAAAGAAGAGCGAAGTGACGTGGGTCAGGAAGGCTGTGCTGGGATTAGTCCCCTGAACCCCGGGGAGGACAGTAAAACCCAAACGTGGCGAGCGGGAAGCCGCTCCCAAGTCCTGCTGGCGATGCGCTTCCTCTGGCATTTGCAGTTCACCAGCACAGCACTCGAGACGGTAGATAACTGCCCGTTACACTGTAAACCAGGGGGATTGCAGTGAAGCGTTCTGCTGTCTGCTTTCTCTCCAAACACTGAAAGATCCCGCGTAAGGGCTCCAGCCTGTCCGAGGGGGACACGGGGAAGAGCTGCCCCGTGTGGGTGGGACGCGCCTCCCCCAGCCCCACGCCTGCCGTCTGCCTCCAGCAGGCCTCGCCAACCTCCGACTTGGTTCCTTGCCCTCCTGTCCTGAGGCATTTGAACTTGTGGCCCCTCGCATACGTCAGAGGTCGGGTGAATTGTTTCTGAGAGCCCTTTGCTTTGCCGATTTTTAAAAAGCCAAGTGTCAGAGAAATTTCTTCTTCTTTGAGTTCCTCTCTCACCTCATCTACGACGCAGGAGGAGCTGTTCCTGGGGGACCACACAGGATTTCAGGTTCCTGTAAGGGACCCAAATATATGTGAATCCTTTTCGGGCCTAGAGTTCTAGAGAATAAAGAGATTATTCACGTGTGCAGTCTCTGAGGTTTGATCTGCGCTTCTGCGAATATTCAAACATTTTATCACAACTTTGAGAAGACTCTGCTTTTAATTGGGCTTATTTTCTATTTCAAAAACAGGCATAAGTATTACAGGAAGGTTGAAACAAGATTTAAACAATACACAGAAGTGCGTAAAAATTCCTTCCTGTCTTACTCTGGTAACCACAGCTGCCAGGTGACTTTCTTTCCAGATCTCTGTTTTTGTGTGTTTGTGTTTGTTTTTGTTTTTGCACACATAGTTATGTAGAAATTTGCACGTGCATTGATATGACTGTGAAAACACAGAACATGGGTCCTTTTGTCCACAAAAAAGGAATTACACTCTCGTTACTCTTCTGCGATTTGCTTTTTAAATTTGACAGTATTTTGTGGTCATTTTCCCGTATCTACACAAAGAGATATGCTTCATTCTTTGTGGTAACTCTGAAGCGTCAGAGCGTGGATGTCATTTACTTAAACATAATTGTTTTGCAAGATACATAGGTCATCTCTGATTTCTACTGATATAAACTCATGGCCCTGTGAACAGCCTTCAGCCAAAATCCCGGCAACACGGAAAAAGTAATTTTGAGGCGTATACTCTCAGAAACGCGATGGTTTCCATACGTATTCTAAACAGTCAGATCGGTCTTGTAACGCGCACCTGGACATCTCCTGCGCCACAGGCTGTTTGCTGACACTGCACAGGACCTCTCAGTCTTCTGCCAGAGCAACAGTCCAATGCGGGAGGCTCGTCTTGTTCAATTTGCATTTCCTTCTCGATTAACTGAGATGGTTCACACCTTCGGTTATTTTACGGGGCGTTTTAATTCCTCTTCTGAGAACTATTTGTTTATATATTTGGTTGCTTAACTCCTTCGTGAACTGTGTCCCTGAGAGTATTTCTACATACTGAGAGTCGTTTCAGAACCCGGCTCCCAGTCGAGAGTGCGGACTCTGCCGCCTTCCTCTCGCAGCTCGAGCACATCGGAGTCGACCATGAGACAACGAACTTCCGCTCTTTTCCCAGAGCCACCAGCTCGGTGCAGGGTGTTGTTTACAAGGAAAGAAAAGAAAAGAAATGACAAAGATCTCACTGGCCTTTAGAAGATCATAACCAAAAATAATCAAAACCACTTGCCTTGGATCAGTGCTTTGCAGTTTACATGCTTTGGCTAAATAAGACATGCAAATAAACAGTGAACACATTCGGTAGAAGATGTAGGTACCACAACACCATAATAGGGGCTTGGGGGAAATAGAAATCAGCTGGGGGTGTGGGGACTGGAATGGTGGCACAGGGGAGAGTTCCAAGGAGGACCACGGGGAGTTGGAGGATAGGGTAGGAAGGATTTTTGTGGGTGGGAGAAAAATGTATAAACAGAACCAAAGGGTAAGGGTCTATCTGGGAAGATCACTTCCCCCCGAATTGAGCTTAGCATCTGGAATATTGGGCCAGAGGTCACAACTGTCTCCCCTGTCAGCGTCCTTTCTTTCGAGCATCACACTCCTGTCACTTCAGTCTGAAGTTATAGCATCGTTTTTTGTTGCCAGCGTGTCTCATTCCTGGTTTGTATTGGGTGTGGATGAGAACGGAAATCTTCTGGGGTTTCCACATGGCCCTTGTCTGGACATCCAGGCCCCCTGTCGCTGACCTTCGGTCACAGCAACGTCCATGACCTCTCGGATTTCTTCCTTTGTCTGCTAGAACATTCCAGACACAGGTGTTTGGAAGCACCTACGCATCAGGGCCAAGCTACGTGCGGGAGAGACTGAGAAGAGCGTGTCTGGTTCCCTTCCTCGTGGTACCTGGAGTCCACCACGGCTGGGGTCAGTGAATAGTTTCATTATTTATTTACACATAAATTTTACTTTGATGAGGGGCGCCTGGGTGGCTCGGTGGGTTGAGCCTCTGCCTTCGGCTCAGGTCATGATCTCGGGGTCCTGGGATCGAGCCCCACATCGGGCTCTCTGCTCGGCGGGGAGCCTGCTTCCCCCTCTCTCTCTCTGCCTGCCTCTCTGCCTGCTTGTGATCTCTGTCTGTCAGATAAATAAATAAAACCTTACAAAGAAGAGAATGATTCAAGCAGATTTTACCGTGATGTCAATGGCAAGCTTACTGGTCAACGACCTGGACAGACTGTGCGCTGGAGAGAGTCTTCATTTGCGAGCTCCCCCGGGAGAGTGGGCCCCTGACCTGGGAAAATGTGCAGCATAGCCCAGTGTCCTAAGGGCACCCAGTGTTTCCAGAAGGGGCAGACTTTTTCCTGGGAATGCCGCTAAGTACGGTAGGTCTTGCCTTCCCTGTACACACCCCCACGCTCCACCGACTTGGGCGGTTTCCACACGAGGTCCGGCAGCCTCCGCAGCACCGGGCCGTGTTGGAAATGCAAATTCCCGAGGCCCACGCAGATGTCCAGAGCACAGACCCGGGTGCAGGGCGGGCGCGGTGTCGGAACGGGACCGCCGGATCACGAAGGAGACGGCAGCTCCCACGTCCGGTCTGTCCTCGGCCGGCGCCGCCAACCTTCTGCAATGTGGGCCGTCCCTGCGGTGAGAGCGCAGGCCTGGGGGCTGGCCCGGCTCGCCAGAGGCCTTGCTGAGGAACAGAAACCATGTCATAGAACATCACAGACCGGGCCGCTCCGAGACCTTGTCTGAACACAGACAAAAACAGGAACATGTCCAAACCACAGAAATAACCAAAATGTGCTTCCATCCTAGCTACAGACGAGTGGCCACGGACTCCTGGCCACTGAAAGCTTCAGACTCTGTTTACCCGTGCGTCCATCTGCTGCTTAGTCACGGAGCCACCCTGCTTGCTGATGGCGTCCAGCCCCGGGCAGGACCCCACATCTCAGGAGGACCCAAGGCAAGCCGCGGCCCGTCCCCAGAAAGTCCCTTCTGATCAGTTCTTACTAGAATGTCGCCGGCTGCGCTGAGGGAGGCCCCCATGGGCGCAGGAACAGGTGCACTCCTGGCCGTCTTTGGCTGGACAGTACTGACGGTCGGGGGGTTCCGGTCCCGCAGCCCCCACCCGGCCTGGGACCAGCGCCCTCCCACGAAGAGTCTATCCCCAGGCCAGCCCAGGTAAGCGCAGAAACGGACAGCTATTCCTTACGAACATTTACGTTACGGTTACATTACGGTTTTAAGAGATACGGAGGACTTCAGCGGGCAGGACAGACCTCATGAACGAGGTCACGGAAGCCAGGAACAAAACGGTTTATGATCCTAGTCTGGACGCTAATTCCCAGCGGGCGGAAACGGACGAAGGCGGTCACCCGGGACACGCAGGTGTGTGCACCGTCTGAGGGCACATCCGGCATGTGGGAAGGCGACCGACCTTACATATTTACTCCTTCGTGTGTCCTCGCAAAAATCATGGAGCTTATCATGTGCTGGACACTTGAGTGCACTGCCTGCGTTCCAGAAGAAAACGAGGCCGTGTTCTTGTTCTCAGGGAGGGTCCAGTCCGATGGAGGCCACGGATGCAATGAAGCAAGGAGAGAGTGCCGTAGGTGTCGTGCAGACGCTTGGGTCAGGACATCGCGGCCGCAGAGGCTAAAGGAGCAGGAAGATGGGAGGTGAGGAAGGAGAGAGGAGGGAGCATTGATGGAGGAGCTGACCTTGGGGATGAGAGGAGGCCACAAGGACGCGGGCTGGGAAGGGAGTTCCCGGGAGCTGGGGACTTCTCAGGACCTGCCACACAGGCCTGGACTGACTCGAGGGGCCCGGGGCAAGGGCACAGGTGCGGCTGCCTGGCTGCTGCCTGTCTCTGCAACCCCGATGTCCTCACACAGCCGTGTGGACAGTGCCGTCTACACCAGCGGGTTCTGTCCCATCCCTCCTCAGCGACCTGCCAGGACATCGGGAAAGTAAAGCCGAGGAGGAGACACTCCTTGCGTCCTGCCCGTGTCTCTCTCCCAAGACAAAGCACATCAGGACAAGGTGGGAGCCAAGATGCCGAGAGGGGAAGAAGGAGGGCTGGGAGGGTGACCGAGGACAGTCAGCAGAGAGACCCTCGTTCTGGGAGCCGGCCTCTCACGTGCAAGGTTGACACCGGCTCAGGGGGCTGATGTACCGTCACGGGTCGGATCTAAGGCCAGGAACGTGGGTCAGCAGGAAACACGGCCCACGAATCAGCCTGGTTTTGAGTCTAGCTGCCGTCCATGGGGCTAAGCCCTTCCCATAGCCTCGCACCCTGGGCATCCCCACGCCCTTGCTCAGCAACAGGGGTCCCTAGGCGCTCCTGCTCCTGCGTCTGCCCACTCCACTCGGGTCTGGCAGCTTCTGGCACTTCCCCTGACACAGGCAGGGCACTAGTTTATCTCCTGTCTGCGGTGCGGTTGCTTCCTGGGGTCAGGAATCTGGTGGAGCCGGGCTCCCGGCAGCCCCGACCACCTTCGGCTTAGCTCTGGCCTGGTGGGAAAGTCCTCTCCCTGTCCTTTCCCCTACGTTGGAAGTTCCTTAAATCCCTAACTTGAAAAACAGGTTCTCTGTGCTCCAGGGAAGGGAGGGTTGACTTTACCAAAGCTGAGGGCTGGAATTTCCATTTCATTTTCTCATACATCAAAGAGAAGGAAGAAAAGCACACGCGGGTGAGATTATGCTCTGAAGCCGTGTGAACACCCACACTACAGGAGTTCTGGAGCTGGGATGCGTCACCCTCCCTGTATGTAGATGTGGTCCCCGACGTGGAAGCTCTCCGAGCCCCCAACTTATTTTTTTTAAATGAAAGCTTCATCATGTGGGCATGATGGGTCATTAACTCTGTTGGCAGACTCTCCCTTCTCCAGAGAGTGGTGGGGGAGCTGAAGTTTCGAGGTTCTAATCATCACTGTCTCTGTTTTAAAAGGAGCCCACCCAGGATCACCTCATAAAAATAACAGGTGCTCCCATCACCCAGGAAAGTACAAGAGTTTAGGAGCCCCAGGTCAGACACTGGGGTCAAGCACCCACTATTAGAACAAAAGGTGCTCCCCACGCTCTCGCCTCTTAGGACGTTAAAGGGTCTCAGGCCTTCCGTGCCAGGAACTGGGGCAGAAAGCCATCATTTTGCAGTGACACGGCCTCATGTGTGCTTCCTGCCTCGAGATGGCTCTGGAAGCCTGTCGTGTTGAGTCTGGGAGCGGGGATCCTTGCTCCGTTTTGTGGGTTGCTGGGGGTGCTGACCATTGGTGCTGCAGTCAGCTAACGTCTGTTTAGAAGTCAGGAGCTTATTATAAGGGAGCTTGCATTCCTCCAACTCCCCAGTTTCCATTCTGCTGATGGGAAACCTGAAACCCAGAGCGGCCGGTGACTGTCACACCATCTAGCGGATACGCAGCATCAAACCCACGTCCATATGGCGGGCTCACACTGCGTGTAATTTACTGCCCAGCAGCGAGGTTCTGTGGGTGGAAGGGGCAGCTGCTGGTAACTGCCAGGAGAGAGGACAGAAGGCGGAGCCCTCCGGGGGCAGGCTGGGCAGTATGCGCAGCTGGTTTTTTCTATTTTTATTAACTTTTTAAAAGAACAAATCATAATTTTGGAAATGAATTTTGTTTTTAAGTATTCTCCCTCCTTTTGATTTGGAAACTTAGTTTTATCATTTTTAAAAAAAGATTTTATTTATTCATCTGACAGAGATCACAAGTAGGCAGAGAGGCAGAGGCAGGGGTGGGGGAGAAGCAGGCCCCCCGCAGAGCAGAAAGCCCCACTTGGGGCTCAATCCCAGAACTCTGAGATCATGACCTGAGCCGAAGGCAGACACTTAACCCACTGAGCCCCCCAGGTGCCCCCATCATTCCTTATTTTTAAGAACGATACGAGTGTCAAGTCCTTTTATGAAGCCGACGTAACCCCACTATGAGAACCTGATGAGAACAGTGCAGTGAAAGGAGATCACCAGTCTCATTTGTGAACACAGATGCAAGGACCCTAATGTACATGAGACAACTGAATTCAGTAACAATCAAAAAAATAATACATTGTGATAAGTTACGATTAATTTGTAGGAATGCAAGGAGAAAATTCTACATTAGAAAACAAATCTATTAATGTAATTTCACATATTAACAAGCTAAGGAAGGAAATACTTAGGAACACTTCAACAGATGCAAAAAAAAAAAAAGCATCTTATTTACAACTTAAGTTAGCAGAAAACTAGAAATAAAAAGAAACTTCCTTAACGGGATAAAAAGGTATTTATCTTTTTACCTGGAAAAACTTGAAAAGCATTTGCTCTAAGATCAGGAGCGGTACAAGAATACATGCTAACATAATGTTCTGCATGAGACTGAAGGTTCAGGTCAAAGTAATAAGACAGGAAAAAATACTAAGAAATATACGGATTGGATGGAAAGAGATGAAATTGTCTCTTGCAAGTATTTACATGCAAGACTGAAGAAAACCAACAGACCTTCAGAAGAAATAAAAAAGCTTAAATACTATAAGATCAATATACAGAAATCAGCAGTATCCCTCAATACCATAATAAAACAAAGAAGAGACAATAAAATACCAAAGTGTCCAACACAACAATAACGAAACCGTAAAATATCAAGGACTTATGAGACAAAAATTCACAAGCCCATTCCAGAAGAACATTTAAAACTCCAGCAAAGGATGCAGAGAAAGCACTGAGTTAGAAGTGAGATAAATTGTCTTTGTGAATGAGGGTGCAGTATTTAAAGATAACAATTTTGCCCCACTTTAATGCGATTTCAAGCAAAGTCGCAGCCTCCATTGGGGAGATCCTGTCCTGCTCGTATTTCGAATGAACCCTCCACAGAGTGAGTCTTGTCAGAAGGCAGGACCCTACCCCTCTCTGTGCACGTGGATGAAGGGCCGGACACGCCTCGCTCTTTGGAAGCTAGCGCGAGTGTGGGACGGTAGCTCAGGCCAAGCATTCTGCTTGTCGGGGCTCTGAATCTTGAGCGGTGCGGGAAGGCAGGAGAGTTTGGACGGCGTTTCACTTAGCAGCATCCCTGCTCTAGGCTTTTCCCTGGGAGCGCCGGTGCACTCTGACGCCTCCTGCGGTAAATCTCGCTCCACGTTAAGTTAGGTAGAACCAGTTTCTGTTGCTTGTAATCAAGAACTCGGAACTGGGAACCTTGCCAAAACTTGACGTGGAAGAATTCAAGCCCCTGAGTAACTAAGACCAGGAGTCAGCAAACTTTTCCTGTAAAAACACTAAATATTCTAAGCTTTGTGGCTGGAGGCCACTATTCAGCTCCACGGTTGTGGTCAAAGCAGCCAGTGGCTGTGTGTGAGCACGTGGGTGCGGTTGGGCCCCAATAAAGCTTGTTTCACAGAAATAGTCCGTGCGGAGAGTTTGGCTCCTGGGCCGTAGTTCCCTGTTCCTGATGAAGACAATCATGAAAAGGAAAATTGAAGAAAAGACAGACTCACTCTATGACCTAGTGAGACTTACCAGCCACCACAGCAGGAAGAACGACGTGGACGGGTCTAGGAATGCGCAAGGGGCCCAAGGAACAGAACAGAACCCAGAAAGAGGCCCGTGAGGGTTTGGGTTATCCAACATTTTGTAGGGAAAATTGGTTCGTTATGTGGAAAAAAATAAATTGGATCCATACCTCAGGCAAAATATAAAAATAAGCAAGAACCTCAACATGGAACGGTAATGTTGTGAGAAGGAAATGTGGAATGTCTTCGGACTCGGCGGCGGGGAGAACTACGGCGGCTAGGCCGTTACTGGACCGATCTGCCTTCTCGGGAGGACACACCGCAGAGAAAGTGGTTGGGTCGTTAGAGCAAGTTAGCCTGGAGCTGACGCCACGTGGTCCACTCAGGTGAGTAGGGTCTGCTTCGAAGGACAGAGCCCGGGCCACACGCTCGTGGCCGAATCATCATCTGGGTCGTGAACAGAAAGGTAGGCGAGACTGTACAGGGAATGAGTGTATTTTGTGTGGGCAGTAAAGATGGGAAACCCTAAAGGGACAGTATTTGGAGCCGAAAAGCAATCCAAGGCCTTGCTTGATAGTTCTACAAAGAGCATGGCGCTCAGGCACAGGAAAGAGACAAGCGAGCGAGACCCAAAGTCGCCGTCAAGTCATCTTGTTTGGTCTTATTCTGTACATACCCGTAATTGTGTCTTACTGGAGAAGCAGTAACGAAGACCAGAGGCGCAACCACGTCTTCAGCCCCCAGTGTCGTCACGCGCAGCCGTGAGAATTCCCTCTCTGACGCAGTGGAGGGGCTCCTTCCCACCTCCCAGGGTGGCTGGAAGTCCTACAAGGTCAGCTGGGGTACGGACTGAAGATGGCTTCCTGTTCTCCGTCCTGCTCTCCCACGGAGAAACGGAGCTGGTCTCCCCCCACGTTGAATCCCGGCTTTGACAGAGGGAAGTTGGCCACAGTGCTGCTTCTGCTTCTTGCTTCTTGGAAACTGTACGTCTAGGCCTTCAGCCACTCCATAAGGAGACCGTCTGGACGGAGAAAGAGGTACCAGTCTCTAGACGTCTGTGCCAAGGAGCAGACTTGGGAATGAGCAAGTGGGGGGCAATCCAGCCCAGCCATGGCCTGACCCAAGAGGGCTGAGATCCTGAACAAGGCCAGGAGAAGAACCGTCTGGTCAACCCACAGAATTATGAGTGGTGGTAAATCACGGCCGTCTTTTCAGGACATTAGAGTCTGGGTTTGTTTTCTGTGTAGCTGGAGATAAGCAGAGTGCTTGGAATGTGGAGCAGCCCAGCGAACCCAGCACAAGGGGCCACCGTTCAGGAAAAAGCCCACTTTTATAGTGAATATCTTCCTAGGCGTTAATACCTAGGAAGCTGAATAGAAGCCATTTAGCTATTTGAATTTAAAGTAGCCCGTGTTCTGCCTCTCATTCTCTGTTTGTAGCATCATCTTCTGTAAGATGTCTAAAATGAAATTTTAATTGAACAAGTTAACTTGAATTAATATTCGTCCATTCATCCATTCACCCATTTGACGGTGGGTGTG